ATCACACCCACAAGCTTGTGCTTTTTATTTTCATCAGATTACAATTATTCTTCCAGTGACCCATGGAGATTAGATTCTCTCTGCCATATCCCAAGGACTATGGGTAGATTCTCTGATCCTTTTGGACTGGATAAGACAACTCATGTAGATTCTCTTATTTAAATGGGAGCTCAGTTCCATTGCCCAGACATCAGGCCCATGGCCACCACAAGCATCTTGGTGGAGTTCTTAAAAATCCAGCCATTTAATACGGGTGTATTAAACCCATATGCTTGGAGGGACATTTGTTTAGTTCTCACTCACTGTAAGTTTCCTCTTATTTTCTGGCACCAGAAATTTCTCATTTGTATTTTTAAGCTTGGCCTTGAATTTCAAGTTTATTGGTTATATTATATCAATATAATGTTAATATATAATTTTTGTGTTGAAAGTTTCTAACATAAAATGAATTTTCTGTATTGACTAAAACTCATTTGATTTTCTTTTTTTGTCAGTTTTTACATTTTATGTTATATTTTATTTTCTTTTTAATAATTTATTGGGTTCATACTAGTTAACACAATTTTATTGGGTCCAGGTGCACAATTCTACAACAGGTCATCTGTACACTGTATTGTGTGTTCACCATCCCAAGTCAAGACTCTTCATTGCCATTCATCCCCCATACCCTCCTCCTCTGCCCCTCCCCCTCCCCCTCTTGCAATCACCACACTGTTGTTGCTGTCCATAAGTTTTTTCTCTTTTGCTCAATCCTTCCACCCCTCTGTCCAGTGACCCCTGACATCTTTCAGTCTGCTGTCTATGAGTCTGTCTCTATTTTGCTTGCTAGTTCATTAGTTTCTACATATGAGTACAATCATATGGTACTTGTTTTCTCCGACTGGCCTATTTCCCTTAGAATAATGCTCTCTGAGTCTATTCATGCTGTTGCAAATGGTAAGATTTCCTTCTTTTTTACGGCCAAGTAGTGTTCCATCGTGTAAATGTACCACTGCTTTTTTATCCACTCATCTGCTGATAGACACTTGGGCTGCTTCCCAATCTTGGCTATTGTAAATCACACTGCTATCAACATAGAGATACATATATTCTTCTAAATTATTGTTTTGGGTTCCTTTGGATATATTCCCAGAAGTGGTCATAAGGGAGTTTCATTTTTAAATTTTTGAGGTAGCTCTATACTGCTTTCCACAGTGGCTGCATCAGTCTGCATTCCCACCAACAGTGCACGAGGGTTCCCTTTTCTCCACTTCCTTGAAAACACTTGTTGTTTGCTGATTTATTGATAATACCCATTGTGATAGGTGTGAGGTGATATCTCACTGTGGTTTAAATTTGCATTTCTATGATGACTAGTGATGTTGAGCATTTTTTCATACGTCTATTGGCCATCTGTATGTACTCTTTTGAGAGATGTAAATTCAGGTTCTTTGCCCATTTCTTAGTTGGATTATTTAATTTTGTGGTGTTGAGTTTTATAAGTTCTTTCTAAATTTTGGATATTAACCCTTTATTATATATATTGGTGAATATATTCTCCCATTCAGTGGATTGTCTTTTCATTCTGTTGATGGTTTCCTGTGCTGGGCAAAAACCTTCAGGGCCAGTTTGGCCCAGTGATTAGAGCATTGGCCCACAGACCAAAGAGTTGTGGATTCGATTCCGGTCAAGGGCACGTATCTCGGTTGGGGTTTGTCCCTGGCCCTGGTCCCAGTCGTGTGGGAGGCAACCAATCGATATGTCTCTCTCACATCAATATTTCTCTCTCTCTCTCCCCCCTCCTACTCTGTCTGAAAATAAAGAAATAAAATGGAAAAATATCCTCAGGTGAGGATTACAAATTAATTAATTAATTAATTATTTATTTTTTTAAAAAGAAAAACTTTTTAGTTTGATGTAGTCCCATTTATTTATTTTTTCTTTTGTTTCCCTTGCCTGAGGGGATATATTAGAAAAAATATTGCTATAAGAAATGTCTGAGATTTTACTGCCTATGTTTTCTTCTAGGAGTTTTATGGTTTGTAGTCTAATATTTAAGTCTTTAATTTGTTTTGACTTTATTCTTGTGTATGGTGTAAGAAGGTGGTCATTTTATTTTTTTTTGGCATGTATCTGTCCAATATTCCCAACACCATTTATTGAATATACTGTCTTTACCCCATTGTATGTTTTTCACTTCTTTATCAAATGTTAATTGACTATAAAGATATGGGTTTATTTCTGGGCTCTTTTTTCTGTTTCATTTATCTATATGTTTGTTTGTATGCCAGTACCATGCTGTTTTGATTACTATAGCCTTGTAGTATTATTTGGTATCTGGTAGCATGTCCTTCAACTTTTTCTTTTGTCTCAAGAATGCTGTGGCTATTCGGGGTCTTTTGTGGTTTCATACAAATATTTGGAATATTTGTTCTTGTTCTGTGACATATGCCATTGGTATCTTGATAGGAATTGTGTTGAATCTATAGATTGCTTTGGATAGTATGGGCATTTTAATGATGTTAATTCTTCCTATCCATGAACACAGTAATAAGTCCACTTATTTGTATCTTCTTCAATTTCTTTCTTCAATGTGTTATAATTTTCTGAGTACAGGTTTTTTACCTCCTTGGTTAAATTTATGCCTGGGTATTTTATTCTTTTTGAAGCAATTGTGAATGGAATTGTTTTCTTAGTTTCTCTTTCTTATAGTTCATTATTGGTATATAAAAATGTGACTGATTTCTGGATATTTACTACGTATTCTGCTAATTTACTGAATTCATTTATCAGTTCTAGTAGTTTTTTGGTGAAATCTTTAGGATTCTCTATGTACTGTATTATGTCATTTGCAAATAATGACAGTTTTATTTCTTCCTTTCCAATTTGGATGCTCTTTATTTCTTCTTCTTGTCTAATTGCTGTGGCTAGAACTTTCAGTAGTATGTTGAATAAGAGTGTTAAAAGTGGACATTCCTGTCTTATTCCTGATCTTAAGGGAAACACCTGTAGTTTTGGCCCACTGAATTAATTTGATTTTCTAACACATCATTTTTTCCTATTACTGATTTTGTTTCTATATCTTTATTTTTTAAATCATTATTTTATCTGGTTCTATTTAGGTCGTAATTTCTCCTTATAAGCTTTCTACTTCTGTTTCACACAGATTGTTCCTTTTTACATCCTACTATGAAACATATTTTAAAATGCTCTCTGTTAGTTTATATAGTAAATATTCTTCAGGTGTCTTCACTTCATTTTTGCTTTAGGATAAAGTTTGTTTCCCCATCATCTGCAGTAAACATTGTCATAAATTCTGCTCTGGGGTCTTTTCTCTGGTTGACCCTCTAGAGAGCTACCCTTCATCCTCCTTCACCCTGGGTGTTTTCACAGTATGCCCTGTGAGCCAATACGTATGTCTGCAGCAACAGGCTAGAGAATCTTCTGGCTTCCAGTTGGATTCAGCCAATGGGAGCACCTGCAAGAGGAGAATGCCAATGGAATATTTCTTTTCCTACCTTCATTTATTCCAGGTTTTTGAGGCTTGGCACAGCACCTGTGAGGAACCCTTTCTATACAGCCATCCTCTCTATATTCCAAGAACTGTTCTCTGACCTTGTCCCTTCATACTTGAGGGAGAAATGGCTCCCAATAGTTCCTAACCCTGGGGATCTGCATCCTCCTCCTCCGGTTCCTCTATATCCTGCCCACACCTTGGAAAAAGAATATTTTTATTAAATTATTTTCCTTTATTTAGTTTTTGTTTCTTTTTTGTTTTTCTTTCTCTCTCCCTTTTTTTTGTTTGTTTTGTTTTTCTGAATCCTGATTAGTGAAAATTTCACTTTGGTTTTAGATTTTACTATTTTTTTCCCTCGTTCTTTATTGGAAGGCGATCTATCTAGATAGCCAAAGGGTTTGAGAAGATTCCTTAGTCATAACCTTAAAATGGATTAGTCTATTCTGTTTTTTATATTTATAGCTTGAATGTATTACTTTCATATTGTATGACTTTGTTAATATCAAATAGAAATCTCTCCTATAACATTGCCTCTCTCTCCAATATACTTCTCTGCTGAACTCAATGCCAGTTGTGACAGACATAGTTAGCTAGCCAACTTATTTTTTTGTATAGAAAAGAAATATAAAGCCATTTTCTGGCATATATACAATAAAAAATTATTATTTGAAGAGGTACTTCATCTGACTGAGGTTAAAACAAAGAGAAAGACTTAATATGGAAAAAGTTAAACTAGAAAAAGACTTACAGATGCCTTCTTCTTCAACTGGAGCCAAGTAGCTCTTATCAGACCAGCCCTCCAGAGATTAATAAAAACTATCAACAGGTTTTTATTTTTTCGCAAATAGGCTATTTTATTTGTCACCATTAAGTGTCCGAATTTTAAACAGATTTTTGGACTGGAAGCTCATTCAACTTTAGCACCTGTTTTATCTCCAGTAGCTTTTCTAGAACTGCTACCTTCACCAGGAAGCTCTATGGCTTTTCCCAGTTCAAACTTGGGCTTGTTTAGCATTTTGACTTTTCTAACAAAGACATCATGGAGCGGGCAAATAGATTGGCACGCCTTTTCTATGTCTTATCTAATGTGATCTGGAATAAATTTATTGACCACTTTTTTGTTTGTTAATTTGTTGGCACCTCTCAGATTATGATTTCCATCATCTTCTTCTGGATTTAGCAGACCTGTTGTGGATGCTAAGCATAAGAGATCTTCTGAATCCGATTGTTGCATTTTTTTAGTAAAACCAACAAAGAATAGACAAAGCAAATAAACTTTATTAGTGTCGACATCAACATGAACTTCAGTCATGGTCTGCCACTTTTTTAAACATGGAGCACATTCTATCACAGATAAGATCCATGCCATGGAAATTAGTCAGGCAGTTTTTGTGTCCTGAACAGCCTTAGTAATTAGCTGGAATTTTCTAAATGCAAGTTCATCATTCTGCAGATCCACCAGGCTCACTTCAAACACATGACCCTTGAGATCATCAGATGTGATTTAGGTTCCTTGAGTTCTCATGACAAGTGTTTTTCCAATATCTATTATATTGACCATAACTGGTACTTTCACATTATACCAATCTTTCTTAGAAAATGGACCAACCACTTTCTTCTGGGCCCCCTCTTTGCTGTCTTTTATAAGGTACGTATTCTTGTTGACCACCATGGTATGGTTCAAAGAGCCAAAAGGCAAAAACTATTAACTCTTGTGAAAACATAAATAAAACAACTACATGATGGCACCAGAGAATAAAAAAAGAGCAGGCAGAAATAATTAAAGGGAAGATGGCACTTGGAAAAAGAGAAAGGAACTTGATGAGTTTCCTGTTTTTAAAAATTTTAGCCTGAGGGCAGACCCCAGTCTGCCCTACTAGAGACAGTTAAAACTGATAGAAAATTCACAATTTTATTTAGTTGAAAAACTAAAAGACAGAGTTCAGTGGGCAACTGCAACCATGAGGACATGAGGAGAAAAATACCAGAAAATCAGAAAGCTAGAGAGCTAGAAAGCCCCAGCTTAGGTATATAACAGCCCAACTAATGCTGAAAGAGGTCAACTGAGCTTTGCAATGCTGCACATAGCAAGGAGACAGAGTATTGTACTTTGTGTTTAACCAAACTAACTGCTTGTCAAGGGGGATACAAGACTTGTAGGTATTTGCTTACTGAACTTGTCATCAGAGTAGTTTGTCTGTGTAGAGAGTTTCTTTTCCTTTAGTTCTTTTTCTTTTATTGTCTCTTCCTCCTGCCCTTCAGTTCCTGCCAGTTTCTTCAGATGTTTTCTTCAATCTCCATTCATCTTTCTACAATCCAGACTGAATCTTTTATTCCTTTTCCTTCCTGTCATTCAGCCATTACTAGCAAGGAACAAGAACACTGAAAATAACTCAACAACAAAAAAGGTGAGCTCTGTTCAAAGCATAGAAAATTAAGACAGGAAAAGGAGGTAGCCTTTATGGAGACAACTGGGCCTAGTGTCAGAAAGTCATCAGATATAGAAAAATGAAAATATTTCTCTTTCTAAGACTACATGATCTTTTGTCATTACTTATCTCTGCGTGTGATCCAATATTGCAGCCCCAAGCAGAGACCTCTGCCCTTGAGTCTTCATGACTACGTGGCCTCCACTCTGAGATGACTCATTCTCTGAGTCCAATTTCCAGGAAAATTAAAAACAAGACATCCACTTTATGTGTTTACCAGCTCTGAGTTAACGGTGCTGACAACTGGTCCCATAAGCAGGGGCTGGTGAGATGTATGTGTGGGGAATGAATAGGTGGCTACATGACCCCGATAGAAGGCCTCTGGGATGACGAAGATTTTCTAAGAAGGAGGCAGGCAAATTATCTGTCAAATATACTGCAACCTCTGAAATCAATAATAGGTGATATCTTGGTACAGTACATAATAACAATAGACAACTATTTTCATGATGGGGACACTGCTAGGGTACTTGTTAAATCAAGAGTATTCCTTTTGCTGTGCTCAACAAGAGTTGTATAGATCACAGTAATGATCATTTTAATTGTCGAGGACCTTAAGTCATGTTTTTTCATCTTCAAAATTCAAATAGCATAATTTGATGTATTATCTTATTTTCTAACAATAGGAACAGACCAATGATGGTGGTTATTATAAGCAAATATATTTTCTCTTCACCTTATTTCACATAGACCTCTGAATATCCTTTTAATTGTTATATATATAATCATTTTCCTATTAAGAAGGAATGGTGTTAACATCCAGGAAAAGACCCTAAAGTAATACAAGAAATACATCAAAATCTTAACAATGGTTATCTTTGGGAGTAAGATGTAGGAGTGATTTTATTTCATTTAAAAAATTATGTTAAAATAGTCTATAATTAATTGCATCGCTTTGATAATAAAAAATAACTATTCAAATAATGAATTCTAAGTGCACAGGGGAAAATATTTTTGTAAATGAGAAGAACTGTGGGTAGAAGTAAGTGATTAAAGTTATGTAAGAATCTAAGTATAGCTGAGAAAAGCACAGAAGTAAAATCCAGGCCAAACTAGAGAAAGGGAGTGCTAAATTTAGACTTACAATAAAAAAAGAGAAAGTAAGAAATAAAGGTCAACATAAGAGAAAATAAAGAAAAGCTAGAAGTCAGACTGACATTCACCTTTAAATATACTTAGTAGAGTTGCAAATAAAAATTGCTTTTGCCACAAAGAGGCATGGAAAACTTTCAGTTAAAAATTCTGAAAAGACACACTTTTTTTCATTGGTAAACTATATATTCACAAAAAACTTTCAGTGGCCTCACTGGGAATGGAGATAAGAAAGAGAGTCAAGATTCGTGATGAGAATAAAAAAAAAAAATGTGAGGAAATAAAGATAATTCAAATGTGATTACTTAATGTGATCATTCAAAAATTTATATTTTATCTACCAAAAGTCTAGCGGCAGGAAGGAGGGGAATCACCGTAACAGTAGAGCAGTGATTTCTAAATGCTGGCCTAGAAGTAACGGGGGCTTCCATTGATCAAGATTTCATTAATTATTTTTAGGAAAGGGAGGAAAATATGAACAATATTATGAGCTTTACATTAAGGTCAATTTATTAAATTTATGTGAGATTATGTTCTTCATAGATTTTTATTGTTAAAATGTCCTTTCTCTTATAAAATCACATAGATAGTAAATGATGGCTCTTAATGTATCTGCAGCAGAAAGAAGAGCTGGGAATGCTATATTCCCCACAAATTTTAAGAATCTGTTAGATCCAAGAGTTAGAGAACTACAGCTTTAAACCATTGTTATTGTATGTTTCCTTAAAGAGACGATAGTTCAGTTGAGCAAGGTGATAGATACATGTTCATAAATAGAAACAATGCCAGGCGCTGTGTGGCTGTGTGACATAGTGAGTGGCACAGATGTGGGCCCAGAAGCATCATGGCAGGTCTCAAGGTGGAGGGGAGACCACCCTGGAATTTATACTACATGACATTCAAAGGTCTATAAACTGAGTAGATCTATTTATTGGGCATGCTCCAAAAATATAAATAAATAAAAAGTTCAAATAGACAGGATCGATGCAATTTGAGAAAAATCATGTACCTCAAGATTGAGTTAAGTAATTAAAGTTATTTGTTGGTTTTGAAGCAAGGTCTATAATCATTTAAAATTATTATTAAGATTGTTCTCTATGTCTTTGGTGTTCTGTTTTTTTTATGGTTTTATTTTTTAATTTAATTAATTTATTTTTGTTATAGAGGTTTCTCCTTTTTCCCCCACTGATACACCCCTCCCCCACCCTCCTCGCCCTGTCCCCAGCTTTGTTGTCTATGTCCATTGTTCATGCATACATGCATATAAGTTCTGTGCTTTATCTCTCCCCTCCCCCCTCTTCTGGGGATTGTCAGTCTGTACCCCACTTCCATGTCTCTGGGACTACCCCGTTCCTCAGACTATGTTCATTATATTCCACAAATAAGTGAGATCATGTGATATTTGTCTCTCTCTGCTTGGCTTGTTTTGCTTAGGATAATGCTCTCTAGGTACCTCCATGTTGTCTCAAAAAAATAAGAGCTCTTTCTTTCTTAAAGCTGCATAGTACTCCATTGTGTATATGTACCACCGCTTTTTTATCCATTTGTCTACTGATGGACAATTGAGCTGTTTCCAGATCTTAGCTATTGTAAATAGTGCTGCTACGAACTTGGGGGTACATATATTCTTCCTGATTGGTGTTTCAGGCTTCTTAGGTTATATTCCTAGAAGTGGGATCACTGGGTCAAATGGAAGTTCCATTTTTAATTTTTTGAGGTAACACCATATTGTTTTCCATAGTGGCTGCACCAGTCTGCATTCCCACCAGCAGTGTACTAGAGTCCCCTTTTCTCCACACCCTCGCCAACACTTGTTGTTTGATGATTTGTTGATGGTGGCCATTTTGACAGGTGTGAGATGATACCTCATTGTTGTTTTAATTTGTATCTCTCTGACGATTAGTGATGTTGAGCATTTCTTCATATGTCTCTTAGCCATTTGTATGTCCTGTTTGGAGAGGTGTCTATTTAGTTCCTCTGCCCATTTTTAATTGGGTTTTTTGTCTTCCTTTTGTTAAGTTGTATGAGCACTCTCTATATATTGGAAATTAATCCCTCATCTGACGTATCATTGGCAATTATGTTCTCCCATACAGTGCATTGCCTTTTTATTTTGATGATTGTATCTTTTGCTGTGCAGAAGATTTTGAGTTTGATGTAGTCCCACGTGTTCATTTTCCCTTTGTTTCTGTTGCCTTAGGTGATGTATCAGTGAAAATTCTGTTGCATATGATGTCGGAAATGTTGTTGCCTACATTTTCTTCTAGGATTTTTATGGATTCCCAGTCACATTTAAGTCTTTTATTCATTTTGAGTTTATTCTTGTGTGTGGTGTAAGCTGATGGTCTAGTTTCATTTTTGTGCATGTAGCTGTTCAATTTTCCCAACACCATTTATTAAAGAGGCTGTTTTTACTCCACTGTATATTCTTGCTCCCTTTGTCAAATATTAATTGAGCATTTTGTCTTGGGTTTATTTCTGGGTTCTCTGTTCTGTTCCACTGGTCTATATGCCTATTCTTGTGCCAGTACCAGGCCGTTTTGAGTACAGTGGCTTTGTAGTATAACCTGAAATCTGGTAATGTGATCTCTCCAACTTTGTTCTTCTTTTTCAACATTGGTGTGGCAATTTGGGGTCGTTTTTGGTTTCATATGAACTTTTGAAGTATTTGTTCTAGTTCTCTGAAGTATGTCATTGGTATATTGATGGGGATTGCATTGAACCTATAGATTGCTTTGGGTAGTATTGACATTATAATGATGTTAATTCTTCCAAACCATGAACAAGGTATGTGCTTCCACTTTTTTATATCTTCCTCTATTTCTTTTTTCAATGACCTGTAGTTTTCTGCGAATAGGTCCTTTATTTCTTTGGTTAAGTTTATTCCTAGGTATCTTACTTATTTTGCCACAATAGTTAATGGGAATGTTTTTTTAGTTTCTCTTTCTGTGAGTTCATCATTGGTGTATAAGAATGCCATTGATTTCTTGATGTTAATTTTGTATCCTGCTACTTTGCCAAATTCATTTATTAAGTCTAGTAAATTTTTGATGTAGTCTTTGGGGTTTTCTACGTATAGTATCATATCATC